ATTGAAAAGGGAAAGGGGGGCTACGGGGAATTACCACAAGCTGTTTACAGAATTTTCTGTAGCATCTTGCCACAGTGCGGAAGGAAGGAGTTGAGGCCGTAACAATGTCTAGAAGAATCCGGTACCCGAGTGAGCACCCTCAAAACTACATGTATTTTTTTAAAAAATCTCAATAATCATTCGCACTGTAAGGGGAAGTCGTATTTTTACAACTTTATTTAAAATAAATACCATCGTAATTTTACAACATAACTCGAAATTTTACGAACGTATTCGTTATTGGCAAAATCCCAAAGGGGAAATTCCACAATTTTACACACTTTTTAGGGTTTAACCTTGTAAAATTACGAACTAAAGCTGAAATTTTTTACGAAGAATGTCGTCTTTTGACGAACGAAAGTTGTCATATTACAAGCATTATCGTAATTTTACAAGTTTGATTGAAAATTAACGAGTAATTCCCTGTTAATTCGTGGGACAAATTGTTCGTAAAATTACAAAAGTTTGTTGAATTACCACAAAAAACCGTAATTTAAAAAGGGAAAACATCGTAAATTTACAAAGAAAGTCGAAAAATTTTTCAAGGTACATTATTAGTTCTTTTTTCACGTTTTTTCGTCGAGGAAAACCCCAAGACCAACCTGAAAATAATAGGGGTTGAAGATTTGAATTATAACGACTGTACTCATTACTTACGAACAATTTGTCCTATGGAATTAACGGGGAATTACTCGTTTTTTACAAAAAAATCCCTAACAGTGCGTTTATTCAGATAAACTTTACATAATGCATGGCATGCTACAAGATTCCGCATGCTATTGATATAATTCGTAAGGATATAAAGATGCCCATACGCGTACACGCCGTGCGCGCATCATTTCGGAATAGAGTTAATTTCCAGCTGCGCCGATTCGCCATTCCACCCACAGCGCACCATCACGGAGTAGACTCCGTCCGGCACCAATCCAGTAACTGTAGATTCGTACCTAGAATCAAGGAAAGGTCACTTTCAGATCATCGGTGGATTGGATTCTGAGACTGCTTTCACAGGCCTCAGAAATCGAGGGCACCTATTCAAAAGATCTTATGGGAAGTTGCCAAAGCACTGCAGGAATTAACCGTAAACCGGGGTAACTTGAGACAGCAAGGGTAACTTCAGACACTTCTGCTTTTCCACCTTTTTGGAGCTGCCACCTGGCTCGGCACATTCGGAGGTCAAAACTGCCCTAGCACTTTTTGGCTGAGCGATAGCGAAGCCTGTTACTCCAGTGGGTTTGAAAAATTTTTCCTGTCTGTCTGTCTGTCCGTGTGTGTGTGTGTCTGTGTGTCCGCACTACTCCTCCTGAACGGCTCGGCCGATCTCGGTGAGATTTTGCACACTTTTTGGGTATGTCCTTGGCTCGGCACACGCGAAATCTCACCATCCTAGGTCAACTGGTTTAGTTTTTATAGCCAAAAAACACTTAAAAACGGCGAAAAATCGAGTTTTTTGTAGGCAGATCGCTTCTGTCGTGATAAAAGGGGGGTCTGGGGGGCGGAGCTCGGTTGGGAAAAAGTACAAGGGTCAAGATCGAGTTATCTGGAGATGAAGCAACTCTTTCTAGAATAAAGGGGGGGTCGGGGGGCGGAGCCCCCAGCACGCAACAAGTTAGGAAAATTGACGATGGAGATGGAGAAGCCATTGCCTGCCGAAGGCAGGCTAGCGCCGCAGGCCAAGGTAGGTACGCCAGGCGCGGATTGGAGAAACAGGCAGCGAGCAGACATCGCGAAGCCTGTTACGACAAGACGCGGTCTGGCGTAAACCTACCTTGTTTTCATACTTGTTTGGAAATACGATTAAGCGTTTGCATGGCGGGTTAGGACCAAGCTGGTCAGTTCTATACTGATTTTTCAATTTTAGTAAATTTAACAATTTTAGAGAAGTGTTACAAGTCTCCCTTGGTACTCGAAAAACGTTTTGCTGAGACCCAAATGACCATAGTATCTTTAAACCCCCATTATTTCAACATTCTAAATAAAGCATTGGTTTTGAGGGAAACCCATCATTCATCGGGTAATACTGACTTTTATTGGCTGAGCGATAGCGAAGCCTGTTACTCCAGTGGGGTTGAAAAGTTTTTCCTGCACTTTTAAAAAAATAGTTTTTTAAAACAACAACACAGTTACCAACCTCGACAACGCTGTTGTTTGTAAACAAGTTTGCTTGTTTTGAAACGACGAATTCGTTGCTAATTATTTTAATGACTTATGCTGTTTCAAAACAATATTTTGCTGCGTACAAACAACCCGGACATTCTAAGAAGTGGAACTGCGGGGTTTAAACCCGGGGCTCTACTAGGTCTGTGACCTAATCGGCAATAAAAAATTTATGCAAATAAAGGGTGTCTATCGGTTTACAAAAATCTTGTGGACGAACGACGCAACTCGTTAGTAAAAAACAAAAGTCATTTGAAAAAACTTTGATCGCTAAAAAATTAGCAACACATTAACTGCTAAATTACAACATAATTTTTAACAGTGTGTCTTTCGGTCTGTCCCGTCTGTCTGTCTGTGTGTCCGCACTACTCCTCCTGAACGGCTCGGCCGATCTCAATGAGATTTTTCACACTTTTTGGGTATGTCCTTGGCTCGGCACACGCGAAAAATTTTACTATCCTAGCTCAACTGGTTCATTTTTTTTAGCCGAAAAACACCTAAAAAATGGCGAAAAATCGAGTTTTCTGCAGGCTGGTCACCTCTGTCTTGAAGGAGGGGGGGCTGTACCTTGTAGACAAGGTAGGTTTACGCCAGACCGCGTCTTGTCGTAACAGGCTTCGCGATGTCTCGCTGCCTGTTCCCCAATCCCCCCTGGCGTACCTCCCTTGGCCTGCGCGCTACCTGCCCCGGGCAGGCAATGGCTTGTCCTTGTGGGTTTTTTTTTTTAATTTGTTAAATGCGGGGGGGCTCTCCCCCCCAGCCCCCCCACATTCTGAATAGAGTTGTCTTATCTGCAGAAAACACGATCTTGACCCTTGTCACTTTTTAACTTGTCGAGGCGGGGGGCCCCGCCCCCCAGACCCCCCTTTCTAACCAGAAGTGATCTATCTGCAGAAAACCTATTTTTCGCCGTTTTTTAGGTGTTTTTCGGCTAAAAAAACTGAACCAGTTGAGCTAGGATGGTAAAATTTCGCGTGTGCCGACCAAGGACATCCCCAAAAAGTGTGCAAAATCTCACCGAGATGGGCCGACCGTTCAGGAGGATAGTGCGGACACACACCACGACGCACGCACGCACACACCAACGGGAAAAACTTTTCAACCCCCCCTGAGTAACGGCTTCGCTATCGCTCAGCCAAAATGGTAACTGTGCGGGGAAACTTGAGACACCAAATTTCATTGAATTTGACGGAAGTTGAGTGGCTAACTTGACACTGGCACCTCCATGTACTACGGGTTATTTAAAATAACGGACCTCCCCGTTCTAAGATCAAAACTAAGCCGCATTTTATCGGGAATCACTTTTTTTGACAATGTAGAGGGTCCCAATGGATATGCAGCTTCAAATTGGAGTGTTTTCTCAACTACTCACGGACCAGATGAGACATAATTGGGTAGCGATAGCGAAGCCTGTTACCGGGGGGGGTCGAAAAGTTTTTCCTGTCTGCGTGCGTGCGTGCGTGTGTGTGGTGTGTCCGCCCCTACTCCTCCTGAAAGGCTCGGCCGATCTCGGGGAGATTTCGCACACTTTTTAGGTATATCCTTGGCTCAGACACGCGAAATTTCACTGTCCTAGCTCAAATGGTTCAGTTTTTATAGCCGAAAACCCTAAAAAACGGCTAAAAAAACGAGTTTTTTGCAGGAACACTAACGTCTTGAGGGAAAGGGGGGGCTGGGGGGCGGGGCCAGGATCAAGATCGTGTTATCTTTTTGATGCAACTCTATCTAGAATAAGGGGGGGCCCGGGGGGCGGAGCCCCCCCTGCAACGGGAAAAAGACCGACGATGGGAAAACCAAAGCCTGCCGAAGGGAGGGTAGCGCCGCAGGCCAAAGGGAGGTACCCAGGCGCGGATTGGGGGGAAAAGGCCCCTAGACATCGCGAAACCTGTTTCGACAAACCGGTCTGGCGTAAACCTACCTTTAGCTAAAACTTTAAGTCTCAAAAGATGGGAATTTAACAAGGTAGGTTTACGCCAGACCGCGTCTTGTCGTAACAGGCTTCGCGATATCTCGCGGCCTTTCCTCCAATCCGCGCCTGGCGTACCTACCTTGGCCTGGGCGCTAGCCTGCCTTCGGCAGGGATTTGGGTTGTCCTCGTCGTTACTTCTACCTTGTTGCATGCTGGGGGGTCCAGACCCCCCTTCATTCTAATAGAGTTGCTCCATCTACAGATAACACGACCTTGACCCTTGTTACTGTTTAACTTGTCGAGGCTGGGGGGCTCCGCCCCCCAGACCCCCCTCCTTTAAGACAGATGACCAGCCCGCAGAAAACTCGATTTTTTGCAATTTTTTAGGTGTTTTTCGGCTGTAAAAACTGAACCAGTTGAGCTAGGATAGTGAAATTTCGCGTGTGCCGAGCCAAGGACATACCCAAAAAGTGTGCAAAATCTCATTGAGATCGGCCGAGCCGTTCAGGAGGAGTAGTGCGGACACACAGACACACAGACAGACAGACCGACAGACAGGAAAAACTTTTCAACCCCACTGGAGTAACAGGCTTCGCTATCGCTCAGCCAATTACCTTTCCAGCGAGCTAAATGTCATTGAAATCGGAAAACTTATAGCCCAAGAACCGTCGATTTTTTGAAGAAAAACAACTGTATAAATAGTTAAGGGATATTGAGTAAATTTTAAAAATTGACTAAGACTATATACCTTTGCAGGAATGGACTTGTGTACGTAGAAATAACGAAAAATGTCTTAACAGGTGTCAGGGTTGGATGCGAAATGAGAGAAGCGCTGTACTTAGTTGACAGGGTTGGATGTGAAATGGGAGAATCGTTGCGCTTCTGAAGTGCCGTTATCCGTCAAATTACCAAATGTTACATTGATGAAAAAATCTTAATACAAGGATCAAAAATCTTCTAATATATTCCACAAGAGTACTTTTCATTGAAAATAAGTTAAATGTCTCAGAAAATCAGTATGGACTGGCAAAAACCCCACTTCCGTGAAAAAGCAAAGTGAAAACTAGGAGTGTCTCAAGTTACCCCAAATGACGGGGTAACTTGAGACAACTTTAGAGGCCCATTACTCTCATTTTAGGTGACCCCCAAAAACTTCGAGGGGTCCAAACCGAATGTAATCATGTGAAATTAAACATAGTTGGGATTCGGGTTGGTGAGAGAAGTATTGTGGACACACGGTCCAAAAAACGTGAAATATTGTCTCAAGTTACCCCGGTTTACGGAACCACAACAAAAGTACACAAATATCAGGCAATTTTTTTTATCAGGAAGTTAATGTATTCAAGTACAACAATTTTTGTACAAAGGACAATGGAACCGGCATGACGAGTGCTGTGCAGTCCAGGGCTCGTTGTAGTTTGTACAATTCTCGTTGTACTTTCTACAATCCCTGTTGTACTTTTATTGTACAGTTTTTGTTGCACTATCCACACTTTTTCTTGCAGTGAGTTGTGTTCCTATTTGGTTCAAAAAATAATTAAGTGAGTCGTACTTTTTTTGTCTCTATTTTTCCCGAGGGGTGAATCACTCTGTGATCTGGTGTACACATGAGTACGCGTGAGTACACCTTGCTCTACTCATAAATTTCTTATTTATGTGAGAGGGTTCCAAGTGGACTTAAACAAAAACGGACGTACTTTATAGATGGCCCCTAGGCTTGACTACGTACCACAGCTTCTCTTCTGTAACTCCCACTTCAATGCGGCGAGGCGGGCCAGAGGCGCCGCGTTTCGGCGATACCACGATCTCGAAGTAGTGCAGGTCTGCGTTCAAGACGTCTGGCAACTGCCACTGAAGCACTGCGGACTTCGCGCTTCTGTCCTTAACGCTCAGAAGCTGGGGCGGTCCGGGCGCTGAAACGAAGAGTAAGGGTTCACTGAGATTCCAAACGCTATGAGTATAGCACTATGGTGCAATACAGCTGAGATATCGCACCATACGTGCAATGCGTCAGCCATATTGCACCTTACGTGCCCGAAAATGCCCTATGCTAATGCATGGGAATGGGGAGGCATTGCACTTCACGTGCAATGCTTTTGCATTGCACCAATTGACGCTATACTCATAGCGTTTGGATTCTCAGTGTTACTAACATAAGAATTTTATATCACTGTGGCAAAAAGCTACGGAAAATTCTGTAAACAGCTTGTGGTATCTCCGTAGCCCCCTTATCAGTATTCTCCGTAGGACCTTACAGTGATCTCCGTAGGACTGTGCTGTCTTCCAGGTCCTACGGAGAATTCTGTACGGCCCGACGGAGAATACTGTAAGAGCCTACGGAGAATATTGACAAGACGGCTACGGAGAATCCTGGCAAAAAAAAAATAAACAGAATTTTCCGTATCTTTTTGCCACAGTGTATACGCAAGAGGGGGTGAAAACGACTAAAACAGGCTGCCCGTGAATATACTACAGACCTAACTGTACTGTACACCCTTACAAATGCATGCTTGCAATGCACACACTTACACGTCAACTTGGCTAAGTATATACTTACAGCTGCATGTATGGCGCCGTACGCTTTGCTTTGCTACACATATGCATTTGTAAATGTGTACTAAGTAGACAATTAGGTTTGCAGTGAAGTTGGGGATGGACACAGATGAAGTGAGACTTCGTGGGTATTCAGTTTCCTCCCTCTGTGTTGCAATAATTGCCATGAAATTTGCAGAGTGTATCGTTTCTTTTAAACTTCAAAAAATCTTCGTAAACTACAGAGTATCTTCGTAAGTTACTACCTTTGGCAATTTACGAAAGTGTCCTCGACAACATTTTGGCTACACTCAAAAAAGCCGACGAAGCATCTTTTCCGTTACCACGAAGAAAATAAAGGCATTCAAGAATTTCTTCGTAATGAAGAAATGCTTCGTGTTAAGTATTTTGCTTCGTAATGAGCAGCTATGCTTCGTAGACTTTTTCCTCTGCAGAGGGATCTTCGTGAATCCCATACATTCATTTTCACAGTGTATTGATTAAAGATAATAAACGCACTTCCGACTTTCGTTGACGCCCGCACTGTGGCGGGCACGCCCGGTTCATCGCTGTGCTCGTTGACGGCGCTGACACTGATGTTGTACTCCGCGTCGGGCTGCAGTCCGGTCACCACGTGACAGGTGAGCGATGGCCAAGCGGGGCAGGGAGTGTTCGGCGGCACAGTCTCATTGCGCCGACCGCCAGGGGCCTACAATGCAGAAAGACAATATTTGAGTGCTTTCTGTGCAGAGAAAAAAGGTCTCGTTTCGATACGAAGGAAACAAAGGCGTTGTAAAATCAACAAAGAAATTCTTCGCATCATGAAGCAAAATCCTTCCGCGAATCCTTCGCAATACGAAGAACTTCTTCATAATTCGAAGCACTACTACCATGCCTTTATTTTCATCTTACCTACGAAGCAGATGCTTAGTAAACCTTTTTTAGTGTGCACTCTACAAATCAAAAAGCGTACATTGTATGCTCTACCTGGAGCATGCCTACAAGCACGCTCTAGCTAGCGCATGCCTGCCAAGCATGCACTTACTAGTGCATACATGCCATGTACATGCTTCCTGATGCAGGCAACCCCCTATCCCTTATGCACTAGATGCATGCTTCAGTTAGCGTGTACTTGGCATGTATGCACTAGTAAGTGCATGCTTGGCAGGCATGCGCTAGCTAGAACGTGCTTGCAGGCATGCTCCAGGTAGAGCATACAATGCACGCTCTTTGATTTTTAGAGAAGGGCTATCGATGAGTCGGCGTCCCATACCGGAAAACTACCTTTGGAGACTAGGAAATAAATCCAGGGCTGGTTTTCAACGCGCGTACAAAACTTATCAACCTTAGAGCGTCATAAGCATTCCAGGAGGTGTTTTGAGCAGAAGTGATACGCAAAAATTCGAAGATCTTTTGAGACACGAATGTGAAATGTGTCAGCGAGTGCGCTTGTCGTTCATCTGTAGTACTCGAAGTGCGCGGTCCGTGCGACGAAGTCCGAACTAGGGGTCTGGACGAACCCTACGGCCTGGAAACTGGACAATGCTTGGCCAAATTTCACACTTTCAATGAAATCAAGGTCGAAATTTTGAGAACACCGAATCAAATGAGCTTCCTTTCCACAGCCGTTTACTCCTTAAAGAGTTTGATAGTCATAGCACACCGTTTTGTCGTAACAACCAAACGTACACTGCAATGCCAGTGGTAAGTTTACTTGCCACGAATTTGGCAAGCCGTTTTGAATGCAAAAAATTGGCAAGCTTGGCGGGGAAATACCTCCCAGCTCGCCAAAATTTGGCAAGCTTCGGCCGGGAATACTCCCCAGCTTGCCAAAATTTGGCAAGCTTATGAAGAAAGCCGACCAATCCTTGCCAAATTTTGGCATTCAAAACGGCTTGCTAAATTTGTGGCAAGTAAACTTACCACTGGCTTTGCAGGGTAGGCCGACGAACAAATATGAACTATAAATGAGGTTGGGACAAAAATGCTATGGTTGCGTTTTCTAAGTCTTATACGGCCTCAGTTACATATAAATAGTTGGCCTCAATTACAGAAGGCGGTGAGGTGACCATGACAGTCAAGTGTAATGTATGTAACAATATTGTAAGAAAATCCTAAATCGAGGGATGAAACCTCGATGAAATGCATCATTTAAGGAAGCTGGACCCATGCCGTAACATGTGCCAAAATAAAATATGCAGGCATTAAAGAGGGAAAAGAAACTTTCAAATGTGCCACATGTACGAAGACCGGAGCCCGGTGAAATTCAAACTCAAAGTCATTTCAAGATATGTCAGGTGAAGAGAAGATGACTGTCATTTGGAATAAGCTGGATAACATCGGGGGAGATACTGCTGGAACTGAGCTCCAAGGCGCTGTAAAAGGGATCAGCACTAGGCTTCATAGCATTGATACTGAAATACTCAACTTATCGCATGAACTGGATGAGGAAGTGGAGAACATGAAAAGCTACCAAAGCCCGGAAAACATCATGGGAAACTGTATAAAGAAATTTAAAATTAAACTAAAAAACCACCAACTGCTTAATCCTACTCTATGAAGTTTATTGCAATAATCATGTATCTCTCATGCGCTCATGTCATGCCATGCAAAATGCTCTGCTAGTTTATTTCATTTTTTTCCTTTGTATGTTGTTATCTCATCATAATTAATTTATTTACTGTTAAAAAGTGATCAACCGCCATGTAAACTGGTAAATCTGCATGTACTGTGTATGGAGCCAATGGCTCCAAGAGTCTGTTTCAAAACTGAAATGAAAGTGTGGTGTCAGGACCGAACGATTTGCTGTGACTATCAAATTTTTTTTGAGTGAAGCGGAATGGAACTTGAACAAACCTAACTCCTTCTTCACTCACCCACGCCCCATCGCGGAATTAAGATCCGAAAATTTTTCACGGCTTTAATTCTACTGACAGTTTATGAGTCCACATCATACCGGTAACGTAACGACGTAGTGGCGCAACGTCTCGCTTCCCTTGGTCGGGGGCGCCCAACGGAGCCACAGGGCAGTGCCATTCAGACGATAAACAGCCAGATCAAGAGGAGCGTCGGCCATCGCTGCAAAACCAAAGCAAAGTAAACAAGTGCCGGAATGGTATACACAATTTGGTGAAGATAATGGTATTCCAGCTCTAAACATCCTGAAAGATATAACGGGATATCGCGAGATGTCGTGAGTTTCGCTGTATCCCTTTACATTTCAGGAGCTCCTGTGAATTATTAGCAAGGTTTCGGGTGTGATGGGAGTTCCCTTTATCGCACTACGTATCCATGCCTGTGCAGGATCAATAAAGAGGTTCGAGTCCCGAGTCCCACTCAAGAATTCCATAGGGGGTGCACTGAAGCCTGTTGTTGGAAAGGTATACACTGTTAAAATCGTTGTAATTAGCGGTATGCTGCTATTTTTTAATTATCAAAGTTGTTAACTGATGCTTAAGTTGATCTTTAACAAGATTTAATCCCAGACCTAGTAGTAGACTCCCGGTGAGCCGGGCTGCTTATCAACAATGAAATAATTGTTTTAACATAGTATAAGTTAGTAAAATAAAAACCTAAGCAACGAATTCGTCGTATTTAAACAAGAAAATTTGTTCATGGACAACAGCGTTGTTGAGGTTGGCAATAAATTTGTTGTACTCCGCAAAACTCAAGGGTGTACTTAGCATGCTTTCAGTATGCTTAGCATGCCCGGATGTACACGCCCCCTGGAGCATACCTGGCATCAACACTCCAGGTGGCGCATCCTTGCCAAATACACGCCAGGTGGCGCCTACCTGAATGTCTGCTTTATTCTTGCAAAAGGCAACAGTGTACATGCAGGCATGCTCCAGCGTGGAGTGTGCACGCTTTACACCTGAGGAAGTACTTTGAGCACACACAATACGAACCAATTTACTTTGTTATACGAAGAAATAGTTCGTAAATTACGTACTGTTTTCTTCGTAAGCTTACGTATGCTCAAAATACTTTGTTATTTGAAGCTACTTCACTTCGCAGGGCTTAAATAGTTTGTAAGGTTTTCAGAGTTTGGCCACGTATGCTCCAGGCTGTGTGTACATGCAGGCAGGCCCCAACCTGAAGCATGCAGCATGCTAAGTACACACTTCAGTTAGCAAGTGTAAGGTAGGTTGAGATATTATGAGTGATTAGATTAGTTTATCAATAAGTTTTCACTGGGAATCCGGGAATGTGGCGACAGATTCGTTTAAACGTGAATCGTGTCACATTCGTTTGAACATCATGTCACGTCACAATCGTTTGAACGTGAACCCAGCATCGTTCAGGCCAGCCGATTCGCCTTCAAAAGAATGTGACGCAGTATTCAAACGAACTTGACACGATTAACGTTTACACGAACGTTACGTCACATTCCTGGATTCCCAGCGTTCACGGTAAAATAAATGTCCTGTCAATGCCGTTAATTTATTGCCAGTTTTCACTGTAGGGTTATTTACAACGTACTGTGATCTGCTCACGTGATTCACTGTGAGTTTGACGCCGCTGAGCACCGAAGTACTGCAAATCAGGCTCCAATTCACGGCGTTTACTGTGGCCAGATCACAGTGAACACTGTGACCGAGATCACAGTGAACGCCGTGAACTAGTTCACAGCAAACGCCGTGAATTGCGTAACAGCAAACATTGGTTAAATTAACGGCATTGACAGGACATTATTTGTACAGTGATTCAGCCTTGGTTTACGACTTTAAAACCTGTGTGCAGCGTCCTGAAAGGTAGCTTTGCCCATCGTTGTGGGTTGCCGCCCACTATATTGACGATGTTGACGTGCAGCCTGTACCTGGTCAGTGTCTCCAAATCCCTGGCAACAGACGCAATCGGAACAACAACATGAATTACTTTAGCATGTGCTTCAGACGATCAACTGTTTGCGCAAAACTTCATCGCGTAGGCATGCCTAGCTTAATTTAGTCGGATACACAACTTGCTAACGTACGGCTATACTTGATTTAAAAACCTGGACAGATATCTGAAACACCCTATGCAGTCTTATCTTGTTTTCTTTATGTGTGACCTCCTAGAGGCTAAACCCCCGAACTTGTTTTGGCTCTTCATAACGTTTGAAGAAAACGCCTGAAATTCCTAAGCCAACCCTGCACAAGAACTCGCAAGAGTTGGGAACCCCATGTGGCTCAGAGTACATACAATAGTGAGCTACAGCTTACTCCCCCCCTCTAATACCCCCTAAAAAAAAATACTGTCGCTTAGGAAAGCATGCAATTATAGCGTGTAGGTGGCTTCCATGAGACTATTTACCAGTCGCACTGCTGTCAAAGCTTCGTAAGTAAGTAAGGGAAGGTAGGGCACATTGGGTCGGATCTTGTCTCAGGATTACTTTTTTTAATAGTGTGGCAGTTTTGAATCCGTCTATACGATTTCGATGAGACTTGGCAAACTGACAGAACTTTGTTCCCCCATTTCACTGGTGTAATTGGGGTTTTCCTTGGGGTTTTCCTGTGCATTTAGTACCCCCACCTTTCCTTACGGTTATAAGGCGACTGTAAGGTTAGTTGTGGTAGTAGTAGGTAGTAGTAGTCGTAGATAGTAGTAGTAGATAGTAGTAGTGGGTAGCAGTAGTGGTGGCAGTAGTAGTAGGATCCTACTCGAGTAGTAGTGGGTAGTAGTAGTAGTAGTATTACCTTAGCATCACCATCATGTTCTTGGTGAAGCCCGAACGGAGCGCTAGCGCTGGCGTCGTCCCGTTGTGGCCCTCGACGTCCTCGTCGCGGTACAGCTCCCAGCGGTACCGCACCAGCGGCCCGTTGACCTCCGCGCACGCCGAGGCCTCACGCCACCGCGCCAGTACCGTGGTGTTGGCCAAGTGGGTCGCCTCCAAGTCGGACACCACCGCGTCGGGAACTACGAAAAAATAACTCACCGATGTGTTTATTTGAACTGTGCATTCCCATCGGGCTTCCCCCTTGATGAGAGGCGAGAAGGTAGCCCGATGCGAGCACTCTCCTCAGCCATTGACTGTCTATTTCTCATTAGCAGACGCATTCCTGTAAGCAACCATAATACTTAGTATTTTACTTGTCCGATCGGGCTAGAATTCTGCACAGCATGTTTTCACATGCAGTTCTACATGGAAAAAAAATTTCATCGAATTCGGAGATGGTGACCTACAAAAGTGGTTGGTTTGGCATGGAATGCCCCGGTAAAAAATGGATCCCGCCCGTAGCGAAATTACTGCCTGTAGAGGGTATTCCCACCCCTCAATAGTGGTAATTTTACCTCCTTAAGGTTTTGTGTGACGTCCCGAAAATGTCCTATGCTAATGCATGGGAAGGCATTGCCTCACACGTACAATGCAAAAGCATAGCACCAATAGGCGCGATGAAAACGGCTTCAAACGCCGTACACAAACCACGTTGACCGTTCTTTTTTTGTGTCTGTGTGTGGGGGGGGGGTCCGAAAAATCAACGGAAATCCACGGCATGGGGGTGTGTGGTGGTGTGTGTGTGTGTGTGTTCATGTCCGATCCACGTTGACACTCCCGAGAACTAACAAGCTAGGGCCCGCCCTCCCGTCGAACCGAGTTGCCAGCTCCGCTTCGCTGCGCCGGCAACTCGGTTCGACAGGGGGCCGGCCCAGCTTGGCCTGCCGGCGGCCTTTCCTCGGGCCTTCGGCCCTCGCATCAGACCCAACTTGGCCAGTCGAAGGCCCGGGCCTTCGGCCCGCTCGCATCACACACCCCGTGAGCGGGTAAAGCACAGTTATCGATGTACCATCGTGACTTAGGCCCGCCCTTCTATTCACAATATGCAATAGTCCTTACACTTTTTACTCCAACTGTCCTTAGAATATGCCCATTTCATTTGTCTCTTAGCCCTCATTCCGAAAATACCCATATTTGCCATGCTACTGCAACTCCTTGCAATAGAGGCACAGCAGGAGCGCAAAACGAGTCCGTCGCACTTTTCCCCATAACTCATGAAGGCGGGCTCCTGGACCCCCCTTCCGACCCCTCGTTGAAGAGGTCTTGCCAAGACCTATCTTAAACTTAAGTAAAAATTTTCAGTCGGTCGACCCCCTTTTTTCAAGATCCTGATGTGACTAATAGACGAAGTCGGGCTCCTGGACCCCCTTTCCGACCCCAGGTTGAAAAGGTCTTGCTGAGACCAATCGAAATCTGCAATAAATTTTTTTAGTCGGTCGACCCCCTTTTTTGAAGATCCTGATCTGGCCAACTTGTAAAAGCGGCCGATGGGGTCGGGACCAGGTCCATTCATCTTGTCTCGTCGCCCCGATTCCAAAAATACCCTTATGTGCCCTGCTAGCACCAATAATGGCGGAAATCCCCCTCCCGCTCATGTAAACCATGATGCACCTGCAGCAGCCCTTGTGCGACCCGGACGGGATTTGCACCGCCGGATTATTTGTTTGGACGGTACTCCTGAAGTACCCTCCAAATCTGGTTACTCTAGCTCAACTCCTTCCTTGTACACAAGTACCCCCCCCCCTATTTTTGGCCCGCCCTTCTATTCAAAAAATAGGGGGAGGGCCTATGCATTTGCCTTTGTGTCTGTGTGTTGTTGTTGTTGTTGTTGTTGGCGTCTGTGTACAAGGAAGGAGTTGAGCTAGAGTAACCAGATTTGGAGGGTACTTCAGGAGTACCGTCCAAACAAATAATCCGGTGGTGCAAATCCCGTCCGGGTCGCACAAGGGCTGCTGCAGGTGCATCATGGTTTACATGAGCGGGAGGGGGATTTCCGCCATTATTGGTGCTAGCAGGGCACATAGGGGTATTTTTGGAATCGGGGCGACGAGACAAGATGAATGGACCTGGTCCCGACCCCATCGGCCGCTTTTACAAGTTGGTCAGATCAGGATCCTCAAAAAAGGGGGTCGACCGACTAAAAAAATTTATTGCAGATTTCGATTGGTCTCAGCAAGACCTTTTCAACGAGGGGTCGGAAAGGGGGTCCAGGAGCCCGACTTCGTCTATTAGTCACATCAGGATCTTGAAAAAAGGGGTCGACCGACTGAAAATTTTTACTTAAGTTTTGGATAGGTCTTGGCAAGACCTCTTCAACGAGGGGTCGGAAGGGAGGTCCAGGAGCCCGCCTTCATGAGTTATGCGAAAAAGTGCGACAGACTCGTTTTGCGCTCCTGCTGTGCCTCTATTGCAAGGAGTTGCAGTAGCATGGCAAATATGGGTATTTTCGGAATGAGGGCGAAGAGACAAATGAAATGGGCATATTCTAAGGACAGTTGGAGTAAAAAGTGTAAGGACTATTGCATATTGTGAATAGAAGGGCGGGCCTAAGTCACGATGGTACATCGATAACTTTGCTTTACCCGCTCACGGTGTGTGTGATGCGAGCGGGCCGAAGGCCCGGGCCTTCGACTGGCCAAGTTGGGTCTGATGCGAGGGCCGAAGGCCCGAGAAAAGGCCGCCGGCAGGCCAAGCTGGGCCGGCCCCCTGTCGAATCGAGTTGCCGGCGCAGCGAAGCGGAGCTGGCAACTCGGTTCGACGGAAGGGCGGGCCCCAGCTTGTTTTGAATAGAAGGGCGGGCCAAAAACTGCCGCGTCGTGTATTTTCTGCCGCGTCGTGTGTCACTACTCAACGCGCTGGCGGGCGGCGCGCCGGCCGAGGCCCCCCTCCCCCCCGGCCGTCCGTCTGCCGCCTTGCCACGCCGCCGTGCCGCGCCATGCCCTCCCGCGCACTATTCCTAGCGTTTTTGTGCACTGTTAAAAAAACGTTAACGCTAACGTGAAAGCTGATGATACTAATCTATAATAACACTTCCAATGCAGGGAAGAGTCCCACTTCGGGGACATTTCCCTACACTCAATTTTTTACCTGGACGGTCCCCTGGAGTACGTCCTCCATTTGAGGATCGGATGCAAACATTATTTTACCACCGAGTTATGGGAACACTGTCCTGCCGCCACTTTCAGACAAAAAAAATCGAATAATTGAGAAAATTTTGTCTGAATTTTTCAGACTACGACCTGCCTGAAAGGTAAAGACTTATGTCAGTCTGAAAATTTCAGACCAGGATTTAGTCTGAATTTTCAGTAGGATGTTCTGCATATTTACTTCAGTCAAAATAGTCTGAATTTTCAGCCAAAAATTTTAACAGTGTGATTTTCCCTTTTTTTCAGGTATGCACGTGGGCAGGGGGGAGGGGTTCCTCAGAAATTCCACGCCGGGACTCAAGGGAGAGGGGGGTCAAAAATCGGCCAAAATCTGTCAACGTGGTTTGTGTACGGCCCTATAGCGCCCTTTGACGCTTCACTCGTGGCGTTTGGATTGTAAGTGTACCTGTGGTGCGTGTCGTGGCAGTGATGCTGTGGGCCTCGTCGTCCCTGGCCACGGTGATGCGGTACGAAGCACAGGGCAGCAGCCCCTCCAGCGTCGCGGACGTGTTCGCCACCACGAGGGCCCCGTTGACGTGCTTGCAAGGCACGTCCGCGCATGCCAGCAGCGCCTCGCACTGCGGCACGGAAGAAGGGTGAAATAACTCGCATTTCAAGTAAACTGCCAAAAACTTGGCGAAACATCGGCCATAAAAATAAAATTAATATGAAGGGGAAGACAAAGAGTCAGAGTACTTTTGCCAAAATTAGGAATTAAGTTCAGATAGGGGGGCAGCACTATGTTTTCGTATTTTGGCGGTTTTTGAACCTTGTGCGTGAAACCTTACACAAACGCACTGTGAGAAAAAAGTACGGAAAAAGTACGGAACATGTCTGGTCAATACTTTGCCTGGACCGTCCGTACTTGCCAACTACGGAACGTTCCGTACCTTTTTTCCGTACCCATTTACATGGGTTCATATGGCGCAAGTACGGAACGTTCCGTACTTTTCTCCGTACCTCCGTACTATATTTTTCTGTACCATTTCCGTACAAAAGTACGGAACTTTTTACAGTGCGTTTATATTTAAGTTACAGAAAAGGCATTTTTACCCCTTGGAAAAGAAGACTTTCTACAATATTTTCAAAATAAAAGTTTCTTAACTAATCGAAAATGGAATAGGACTTATGGTGCACGCAAGACAGGTGTGCATAACTCCACGATTTCACTGCGCACGTACTCTGCAAACTCAAGTGTGTGCCAGGCATGCACTTCTTGGTGCATGCCTGCAGGCACACACTTCCTGGTTCATGCCTGCAGGCACACACTTCCTGGTGCATGCCTGGCAGGCACACACTTCTTTTCTGCATGCCTGGCAGGCACACACTTGCCGTCGCTTATGCATGCATACAAGCAAGTGTGTGCCTGCCAGGCATGCAGAAAAGAAGTGTGTGCCTGCCAGGCATGCACCAGGAAGTGTGTGCTTGCAGGCATGCACCAAGAAGTGCATGCCTGGCGCACACTTGAGTTTGCAGAGTACCGGCCGAATGTGTTCAACTTTTTTCTAGTCCGTTTGTCACCTTTTAAAAAGCATGCAATTTCCCACACTAGCTAGATGCACTAGCATCGGAAAAGAAAAGCTTATTCACCTGCAAACCTGAAAACGAGGTAGATATTTCTATCTGTTACTTTCGTCCGATACTAAAGCTAAAGGTTCAATTAGTGGCCTTTTTTTTGCATTTTCAGATGTGACAAATCGTGGGATGATGAAAAAATTGAAAACATTCGGCGGAAGCGTGCGCGCAATGAAATCCCTACTCCTTTACTAAACAAAAGCACACTTTCGGATGGGTTATGCACTCGGGGTGTGCGAATTGTTCGAAATCGAATCGAATCTGCGTAGTTTCGATTCGCTCACGGACTCGCCGATTCGATACCGACAGGTTCGAAAAATCGATCGATTCAACACGTTTCGTCTTCGAATCAATCGTCCTTCGCCCTGCCATTTGGATTTGCGCGCCTCTCCATGCCTGTGGAGTTTCTCATAAGGGTCGCTAACTGTCTTATACCTAGCCCGCGTTTTGGCATTCCAGCTTCCCTCCCCTCTTTACTTAACTGACAAAAAACCAACCCCAGTAGGCATTACGCCACATTTTAGGAAAGCATTTAAAATTTGGCAATATTCGGATTCGATTCGAAAATTTCGTGCAGATGTTCGGATTCGATTCGATTCGGGGAAAAATTGCGGATTCGATTCGATTCGGGACATTTTGAGAGAGATTCGATTCGAAGACAAAATTCACGATTCGCACACCCCTATTATGCACCATGATTCCGTACCTCATACATGACTGAGAAGGGGCCCTGTTTGGAAGGCGACGTCCATGCAACTTGTAAGCTCCGTGGTGTGGCAGTTGTTACCACCAAATCAGCGATTTGTCCTAAAAGTACACATATCTCGTGAGACTGCACTCTACTAAAAATGTCCTGTCAATGCCGTTAATTTATTACCAGTTTTCATTGTAGGTCAATTCACAGCGTTTACTGTGATCTGCTCGCGCGATTCACTGTGATCTTGTGCACGGTGTTTACTGTGATCTGGTGCACAGTAAACACTGTGAGTTTGACGCCGCTGAGCACCGAAGTACTACAAATCAGGCTCCAATTCACGGCGTTTACTGTGGCCAGATCACAGTGAACACTGTAACCGAGATCACAGTGAACCCCGTGAACTAGTTCACAGCAAACGCCGTGAATTGCATAACAGCAAACATTGATAATGAATTGACGGCGTTGACCGGACATTTTTTGAAGAGTGTGCGTGATGCGGTGAAAACGAGCAGCAAAGTCGGTCAAGGCATGAGCATCGTGAGCGTGAATAGGGCATTGACTGGACATTCGCTGGGATATTACCGATCAGGTACCAAAAAGAGCCGGCGTACACCAGTCGAGTAACAGACAAGTTTCAGACACGTTTATGAATCCAACCCAAATCCAACCAAGTCTTTGAGGCTGTAGCTATCGAGGAATTGTTGCCTGATAGCACACGTGCCTCAGATGCGTGGCTGGTTTCGTCGTACACTGTAATAAAGAAATTGGGAATGAACGAAGGGGCCCCTGGTGAAAATGTTTTCTAAGGTTTCTTCGTGAATTCACGAAGATTCAACGTACAAAAGAAGAGTCTTCGTGAAATTGGGAAGAATTTTAATGAATAAGAATCTTTGAAAATTGACGAGAATCTAAGTAAATTAACAAGAATCTTCGTTGATTTACGAAGGTGAATCGGCAACGACAGACGTAAATTCCCGACATTCATATCTACAGTGCAGATTTGTTTTAGGGGTTCCAGGTTCCTGACATTCTGGAAAACTGTTTGAAGTCTAAACGTGTCCAGTAGAGGTCCTTTTTTTTTCGATACAAGCCGGCGTTTTTGTTAGCGGTCTGCAACTTAGAACATAGATTCTGAGGACTGCAACACAAACAAATTTACTGACGTGATCGATTTGCCTCATCGACGAAGCAAGATTAAATTTGTAGGCCTCTTTTTCCAAATGAGGGTCAAAACGAAAAGTAGAAATTGATCAAATAATGGTGAACAATATTTTTCTGGAGGTATTTAGTCCATCGTGGCTATTTACTACACTCACGCTGGCCCCCAGTGCGAACGGTCAAGTAGGGCACTCTGTCGTAGCGCTGCAGGTCCTCGTTGAGCAGCAGGGCCCGCACCAACAAAGCTGTGTTAGGCATCAGTCCGTCCACCGTGAAAGGGCAGGCCCTGGTTCGGCACGGCTCGACCTTCCCGAACACGCCTGTGGTCCAATCGCCGCCTGACTCCTGACAATAATAACACAGTAAAATTGCGTCCAGTGCGTAGCACTTTGTCTAAAGTCAGCTCGGGAACCGTGCATGAATCACGTACCGATTTAGAGCCCCGTTTTCAACCCCCCACCCCCTTCTCTCTCTCTCTTACAATGTTAAAAAATGGTTGTACAGTAACAATCAGATGAGTGAAAATTTAGTCGATCCAAAACATAGAATTTCATCATGAACCAAAGCGAAACAAATGTCGTTGAGTCTATCTAGTAAGCGACATTTTGTCGTTGAAGAACAAAATTCTTGTTATCACTCTTTACGATACAATTTGTGTGGAAACAACATCTTTTGCAATTATCTGCTAAATTAAAGCATATTATGAATAATCATCTATTTTGTTCTTCTAAGTCATATGGAAATTACTATTGTTAAAAAAAACCATGCAAAATAGATTCAGCGACAAAAGTACTCTATGAATATTGTCGCAGACATTACAAAATTTCTTTTGTACTTTCAATACTTGTCGTTGATGTATTATTGTTGGTGCGTTATTACAAGTTAGTCGTTGTGAAATGATCCCTTAGTTCCAATACGACTACGGATTAACAAGCTTTTCGTTCCACAACAGATCTTGTTGCTAAAAAAGTTAGCGATAAATGTGTCGCTAAGTTACGACAAAATTTTTATCAGTGAATTCCGCTCTTCAAATCCCTCACGACTTGTTTTAAGGGGGCTTGCAACCCTGAGGATTTTTAAGACCAAAACAACTGTCAATTCATATTATATTAAATACTTTTTTCCTTATGTATTCATGAGCTTTTTGCTGTTGCAAGTGAATTGAAAGATGTACTTTCCAGCCAAGGGGACTCACTTTGATATATTTTAATACTATAGAGTAAGCGTTCATTTTGGTCTGCCTAAACTCCGCTTTCAAAAGCCTTGCGTAGCTCTCTCACCAAACCGCTTTCTAGATTGACCTCCAAAGTCACTGGGATATTCTCAGATTTCAGTTGCAGGAATCATTAATTGGAGCAATTATTTTTATTTATCCTAGATCCAGAAAAAACAATTCAAATGCACTTAAAATATTTAAGTTTACAAACATTTTTCTGAAAATCTGAAGCTCTTGGAGCAAATTACAAGGTAGGTTTACGCCAGAACGCGTCTTGTCGTAACAGGCTTCGCGATGTCTCGCTGCCTGTTCCTCCAATCCACGCCTGGCGTACCTACCTTGGCCTGCGGCGCTAGCCTGCCTGCGGCAGGCAATGGCTTGTCCATTGTCGGTTATTTTTTAACTTGTTGAATGCTGGGGGGCTCCGCCCCCCAGACCCCCCTACATTCTAAATAGAGTTGTTTTATCTACAGATAACACGATCTTGACCCTTGTCACTTTTTAACTTGTCGAGGCTGGGGGCTACGCCCCCCAGACCCCCCTTTCTCCAAGCCAGAAGTGATCTACCTGCAGAAAGGTCTATTTTTCGCCGTTTTTTAGGTGTTTTTCGGCTATAAAAACTGAACCAGTTGAGCTAGGATGGTGAAATTTCGCGTGTGCCGAGCCAAGGACATACCCAAGAAGTGTGCAAAATCTCACCGAGATCGGCCGAGCCGTTCAGGAGGAGTAGTGCGGACACACACACAGACAGACAGACAGACAGACAAAACTTTTCAACCCCACTGAAGTAACAGGCTTCGCTATCGCTCAGCCAATTATATTTCGTTTAAGTTGCACCACTTTGGGTCAACAAGCACTGATCTTCAATTGCTCAATTTCGTGTACCATGCTTCTGAGAAATTGCAGCAAGTAGTTTGAACATAAAGACATAAACAGTTCAAAAAATGTGCCTACAAAACACAATTTTCAGCCTGCCAAAGGTGGGGATCCTATTATCTGGGAGGCTTAAAATGCAAACTCACGAGGTAGAAAATTCGGACTCTTAAGGGGGGACCCTGGTGAAGCTTTCAAGTAGGCTTCAAAATAATCCCAGGAAGTTGAAACTTGGCTTAATTATTGGGTTCATTATGGTGAGTTCCCAAAACAAAATTCAATCCAAAATGTTGAACGGTCTCTGAGAAAAGTGGCTTTTTAGTGTTTTTTGGAGCGTTGGGGAAAAATCTTCCTGCGTCTTTCATTGAGACGGAAAGTCTTGAAAATTTTTTTTGGTTATCCTAAAGATGTATAGAAAAGATTTTAGTGACGGAATTTTCAAATTCAACTTCTGTCCTGAGATATGAGTTTTCAAATCTTAACATAAAAAAAAAGTGATTTTTTTCCCTTTTTTCAAACTTTTAGGTGTGTTTTAAAAAAAGTAGGGCTGATATCACGATTCCGTCACTAAAATTTGCCGACAAGTCATCAATGAATAGAGTCCATGCAAGACGACTCATGTAGGTGTCAACCAGGAACGCAGGAGGTCTCTCTATGACAAAATTTTTTGTCGACTGAGCAAAGCTGTGAAGTTGAGCGTAGAAGCCAACGACAACTGATGTCAATGTTATTTCCTTCCAAATGATAAAGAAACTACCCACTTAGCTTAAAGGTGCTCAACCTGTTGAATCTGAAACCTTCTATGCACATTTTTATCTATGAACTTTAAAAATACTATTTTTTGGAATTTTGGGGATTTTTTCACCAGGGTCCCCCCTGAAGTGATCGAAAAATTCAGAGTGACCTAGGTCACTAAGGGTGGGGCACCAAGTGACAGGGGCACCTAATGACACAGCAGTCCCCTGGCTTCCCTATTGCACTTTTAGACATCCAAAATGCGAAAAGTTTCACTAGGTGCCCTACTCTTCCTTACTGTTCTTGTCAGAAAATTCAGATGACAAGAGGACGAAAAATTCGGAGTGCCCAGTGGTATGAAAATTCAGACTGCGGGGTTTCGAAATTGAGTTCATCCTAAAGAGTATGAAAATTCCGACTTTTTTTGTTAACAGTGACAGATATCAAAAACGCTCCCATTAATAACTGCGACTTACATTTGGAGATCAATTCTGAAAGCGGTTTGGTCAAAAAGGTACGCAAGAGTTTTGGTTTGAGAGTTTACGCAGACAAAAATGGAACGCTTACTGTGTAGGCGTAAAAAACATCAAAATGAGTCCTCTTGGCTGCAAAATGTACCTTTTTAATTCTACTTTCAACAACTAACAGCTCGTCACCTCAAATACATAAGAAACAGAAATGACTTTACGAAACATGAATGGACAGATTATATTTGTTCTAAAATATTCTTAGGGTTGCAACCCTCCTTAAACCTTTTAAGGTAGTAGGCTTGAAACTTTTCCAATTCGAGATGAATTTTTTGGTGATTTCAGGGAGCATTTGACTGTTTGGTGCGCACCGTATCTAGAAGTTGCTTTTTCCTTGAGTTACCCCGAATTCCCCCAATAAACAAAGTTGCCGGGTCTTGCCATTCCCACACCGAAAACTTACGTGTGTACTGAGTACAAACTTTAGTTTTCGCGTGCACTTAGGACAGGAGAGACGTCAGCTTTCGCCTACCTTGTGCTGCACCTCGAAGAAGTGGACAGAGCCTTCTCCTTTCGTGTTATCAGGAGTCACGAGAATGGATCCCTTGAACGACGTTGCCGTAATGGATGCAACTTCAATGCCTTTGAGAAGGTGCGTTATACCTGTATCGGTGGAAGCAAATTATTGATAAAACACTCTGCAAGTGTTTTGAACTCACGAATGGTCCTCATGATATCCTTTTCACCCGGAAGTCAACATTGAGATACGCATAGCTGTTTCATTGAACTGTATGCTGCCGACGAGAAAGCAACTGAGCGATTCTCACGTTTCGGGGTAGTTTCGTTTCTTCTGACTCCTGTGCCCAAACGAGCGCAGATATCGACATGGGGTTTGTTTCTGATGTTAGGGAGGGCCATTGCCCACTAAACGCACACATTTCGAAAAGTTCACGTTCGTTGGGTTGGTCTACGTAACGTTTGGAATACCCTAAATGTAACTTCCGTGATTGTCCAAAGAGAACATACTCGTACTTTCCGCCCCCAGTGTGGCGGTGTGGTTCGAAAATGCTGCCAACTGTCGACGGGGATTCGAAGCTTGGCATGTCTCGAGCTAATTTCAACCGAAGACCAATACGCCAGACTTCTTTCAAAGGTACTTATGCTGCAACGAAAAATGTCCACCGTATATTCAATTTCACTACACAAATTTCGAAAAGGCAGCTCTGGACTTCTCCCCAAGCCAAACTTTTAACTTTCCATGACACAAGCCATCAAAGTGGAGTCCCTGGGATATAATTGCATGGGTCGCGGAAATCTAAGATGCTGTACACGGTCTCAAAGCGGGCTAGAGCATTATAAAATGGCGTGTATCAACAATTACCTGTAACTTCCGTGGCACCCTTTACCCAATGTTGCAGCAGCACTAGGTGAAAAAATTTTCCGCTTAAATGTCGGGCTTAGAGTATCATTTGACCCTGGAACAACTTTTAAGCCACAGCAAGCCCGAGTCAGCCGTTAAAGCCGATTTTCACACTTTGTAACTTCCGTGATAACGTAATTTCCGTGGTCAAAACACCCACTAAAACGTATGGGGATACCTTATGGCTCATGGTTTTAGGAAGGTAGTACAAGGTCTTTACTATAAATACCATTGCCATAACTCTAGTATCAACCTGGACCCCAATAATCAGAAAAACTTAATTGGATATTTCTCACTTTCGGCAAATCAGAGACGCCAAAACTACCCCGAAACGTGAGAATCGCTCAACTGTCATGTTGCATATCTGCTAAAACGGCGACGTTGTGCGCAAATCTTCTATGAGGAAAAAACTCGATAGGAAATTCCCGAGCGAGCGTTAAGCGTGATTCACCGACTTTCACCGTGCTCGTTTGAATGTGATACGGGTCATTCTACAGAAATGTTACAATTTCGCGGTTCGAACCGAAAAAAATTAAAAGTTGTCCGATTTCATTCATGTTGGACTTGTTTTTCTTGTTTCGGCATGCAGAATGCGGAACGATGTCAAGCGTCCACACTTTTCGAGAAAAAATTTCTGTACCCCTAAAATCATAGGGGAAATGTCTACGGAGTTTACATAAGTTGACGCACGGAGTTTACATTTTGAAGCAAATACCTGGATTGCAGTCGTATGAGTTGGAACAGTAAAACGCGCATACACAGCTGACTAAAGGACCACCAAAGCATTGTTTTTATCCATATTTCGAACGTTTGACGCACAGGGGATCCGTGGCAAATCGGGTACGGAGTTTACATCACTGTTAAAAATTTTTACTGAAAATTCATAATTTTTTGTAAGAAGTCGATTTACTTACATTCAGTCTGAATTTTCATACCAAAACTTTCATACTTCGCGGTCTGAAAGTTTCAGACGACGTTAGTCTGAATTTTCAGATCAACATGTTGTATGAAAAATGATACCAGTCGGTCTATTTTATCAGACTAAGTTGTACGAAGACATTGAACAGTCGCACTAAAAAATGCCACTCTGTAGAGTAGAACTCAAATCGGCGAACTTTTGCCATCGGTTTATCGTAGACGCTCAGCGGATCGTCCCGGCTCAAAAATTAGGTACACAGCAGAAGGCTCCTCCTTGCAAAGGTGGTGAAGAGGCTAGAGGTGACTGCTGAATTGCGAGGGAGAGCGGCCTTAGCCCAACCACGCGCCGACCCGTGGCCATGCGCGAGAGTGAAATTGTATTCTTTGTTATTTAGCTTATACTGCTCTTATTAACCTGAATCTTGCTTTGGTGCGCTCATGCCCTTTCAGACAATCACTTGGAATAAGTTTGTAACAAAATATTCGCGATTTCGCCTTCAAGTGGCAATTTTAGCTCCAAAAGATCATCCATGCGACACTAGCGCCACCTAGCGGATAGAGCAATAAGTGTCCATTTCGGAGCTCTGAAACATTCTCTATGCTTTTACGACACTAAACGTAAATATTATTTGAAATACAACAGTAGTATTGATAAAAGTTCTGAGAAAATCGAAAAATGTACAAAGGGGACGGGGTTTTTTCACTCGTTTTCCGATTTCACAAGTATGAATTTAGTTTTCGGACGACAATGTACAAAACTTGATAGCCATCGCTCTAAATATTCAGACTTGCTAGTCTAAATTCAAATTTCAGACAACAGGTCAAACTTTTCAGACAGTTGGTCTTAATATTCGTGCCATTTTATGAATTTACGATTCAGACCACCAAGTAAGACGAAATCAGTCTGAATTTTCATATTTTTTTTAACAGTGATGCACAAAAAATACGCGACCCCCTTTTTGAAATTTGAGTACCAATAAGATGCTAGCTATTGAACTCACATCCCTCAAACTGTGTGGCTAGATGTGTTTTTTCATCCGGACTCCATTGCAGTCTTCAGATTGAGGCTGCGACTTCCCGTTTGTCTCCTGTAGTGCCAAACTCGTTACAGTGCACATGTAGATTTTTGGTTAGTAAAAACTTCGGGACAAAAGTTAATTCTGTGCAGGCACAAAGCTTCAAACTTTTTATTAACGTCAGCGGGGTTGAGTTACAGTATGGAAGTGCCTTAGCAAATAGACCCGTCGGGAATGATTGTCCTGTGTCTCGTTTAAACATACGAGAGGCGCAAACTTAGTGAACTGCGCATCGGGACAGCTACGGAGTTTACATTTTGCACCTTCCGGAGGCCACAGCCATCTGAAAATCTCAGAAACTTTCAAACCCAATTGTGGATCAGTTTGAAGCACTAAAAGCACCATCTCATCGCGCAAACCGCGTCTTTCTAGGACGAACCGTTTCGTCACAAAGGGGCAGGGACATCAAATTGTAACATTTCTGTAGAATGACCCATACGTACTCGGACATGCCATAAGAGTCAGGTCACGGGATGCCACGTTCGTTTGAATGTGACTATTCGGACAATTCGTGCAATCAGTTTCTGACGTTTTATCCAAAATTATCTCATTTGGGGTGTGTCACCACAACATACGTTAGTGTATAAATATCTATTGCACGTTAAATGCAATTTGTTTTCCATAACGCCTACGATGCAATAAAAGAAGGTTTTGCCTCTTGAAATTAGTTCATTTGTGAAACTTGCACTCAAAACAGTCTACTAAGCATTTGCTTCGTACCTACGAAGAAAATGAAGGCATTGTAGAATTGCGTCGTATTATGCACGGTAAAAACGGTTTCTGGTTTTCCCAGGAACTCCCTGAAAATCGCCTATGGCTTCGCCATTGGCTTCCTGGGAAAACCAGGTTCCGTTTTTACCGTGTGTGAAGAAATGCTTCAGTTTAAGGGGCTTCGTAATACACTGGTAAAACTAAAGCGTAGTATTACCCACTATCAGGTTACGCTTGAAACCAAGCGTAGCAGGCTCATCCGCCAAGATTTCCCCTATCTAAATGCATGGGGGAATTTCCAGAGTATGCTTGATTTCAAGCGTAACTTTATGCTTGACTCAAGCATAGAGTTACGCTTTAGTTTTACCAGTGTACGAAGCATTTCTTCGTAGATTTCACAATGCCTTCGTGTTTCTCGTATTACGAAGCGATGCTGCGTAGACGTTTTCGTGTGTGGAATAATAGTGCTCAGTTAGCAAATGACGAAGAAGTGCCCATTTCTGTCCAAGAATCGACGCAGCAAGGATCCGTCCTAATACGTTGAGGTCCCGAGATCCACAGTTCATTACCTTGCTGGCAGTATGGTGGATGGTACCCAGGTAGACATCCACGCTCGCAGTGGCCCGTGAAGGGATCGCAGTCTCCTTGTCCGCCGCAGAAACCACAACGTGAAGCACAGTTGGCACCGTACTCACCGCGACCGCAGACTGGAATGGTAAACCGTTGTTCAAGGTCAGTTCCACTGTGGGAAAAAACCACAGTGAATCCCGTTAATTTTTTTGCCGGGATTTACTGTAGTTTGGAACACAGGATCTACTGTGCCTGGAACAGGATATTCCGTACTCCACTCCTGTGGTACAGTAAATCCCGCACAAAGTACAGTAGATCCTGTCAAAAAAGTACAGCAAATCCTGTACTCTGAACTACAGTGCCAGCTGTACTAACCACTACAGGATTTACTGTGTTTTTTTCCCACAGTGTCAGATCTTTAAAGCGGCGACATGAAACTTATTGAAAACTGAAAACTGCCAGCTTTGTCAGGCCAGTGATTATCCGGACCCAAATGAGAGTACGGACCCAAATTTTCGGGTCATGAGTCAAACATGGGACTATTTCAGAACATAAACTACCTGCCTTACATGACAACTTAAACACATTCAACTTTCCGCACTTAACTTCTAACGCTGAGCACAATGGCGGTGTTCTCGTTGCTGTAACTCTAGTAGTTTACAAGATACCCTTTATAGCAAGGGTCATAGAGTGGACCCAAAAGATTCGGTGCGGTTGGGTCCGAGCCCAAATGAGGACTCAAAAATCTGGGTTCTGACCCAAAGTGTTGGGCCCCAAACCCAAATTTTGGGGGCTCGAACCCAAATTTTTAGATCCGGACCCAAAAATCATTTGGGTCCCGTCTGCCATGGGAAATGTATATGTTGCCTAAATTCTCCTCGAAGCCAAGTAAACAATGCACCAGCAGAGGTTTTAAGATACTGGTCTCGTAACCCTTATTCCGAAAAAAAAAACCTCCGGGTAGGGTCAGTTTGGGGGAAATGAGACACTTCCTGTTCTGGACAAGATTTCGCGTCGCGAAGATTGAATATCCGTCCGAATATCTTGTATCTGTTTTAAATTTTCTATGCGGCGCAACCACGTTTGCCTAAAGAAAGAAGGTTCAAGAGAAACCAATTGGAATGTGCCAGTACTAGGCTAGGGTTCTAAAATATTTGCCGCAGAGGTCCTCTTATGTGAACACTACAAAACACGTTACAAACAAAAGAGAGAAGTGTAAGATTGTTTCCACTTTAAACCACTATTCTCACTGCAACTTAAATGGGGAAACTTTGCACCAAACTATGGTGAGACAAAAAGTCTCGGCCACAGAATGGTGAGACAGGCCGCTTGAATCTTATTGACTGGGTTCAAAAGACTCACTATATATTGTGGTCAGACAAAAAAGTCTCGCCATTTTGTGGTGAGACATTTCTGTAGACTTTCAGGTCTGACTAAAACTTGGCAAAACTTTTTGTCTCGCCTCCGGCTTGGTGAGAAGTATTTGTAGTGCTCACTAGATGGGCTAAAGCTGCTGATGAATGTCACTTGTCAGGTGGTATATAGGCAAATAACGGATGTACATACCTTGATCGCAATTAGAACCCTTCAGACCCGACGCGCAAGTTCTGGAAATTCAGTAAATTGATGTCAGTGGGCACACACTAAAAATCTGACCCTGTGCGTAATATTGTGCGCAGGACAGGACAGAAACCAGGAAAAAGATTACTTTCACATTTACCGTGCAATTGAATCATCCAGCACATTCTGTAGAATTCGGGGAAACGTTTTACCGCTGCATCCGATAATGCCGCCAGAGCACTGTTCTTCGCAGTCCTTGCCGTAACGATCCCCACCACAAGCTGAAAAGGAAGTTGCATACAGTACGTCCGTCAAGTTTTACGCTTAACTTGATTCGATAAGAAAGCCGTTTTTTGTTTATGAAGATGTTCTAACAAGAAGTATAAAATTCCTATGTACACTCAAAATGTCTTACGAAGAAATTTCCCATAGTACGAAGATGGTTTTTCTTCGTATGACTAAAGTTTTTCTTTGTATTTTACAATGAAAAAGCTTAAAAAATTCGTACTACCAAGAAATTTGCTTCGTATTATGCTTGCGCCGAATTCACGACGCATGCACGACGAATTCACGAATTCACGCCGGCACCTAATGGGAGGACATCACTCCTATATGGTCAAAAATTGCAACCTTTTATATTACTTTATATTATTGATCATGCCAGTACTGGGCGCAGTTTTTTAGCTACAGCGGTGAAATTTAGCATGGTAGCTCCCTCGACATGCCGCTGCTATGGTGGGTAGCAAAATAATTTGCATAAGTCAATTTTTATTCTTTTTTAACGTTCAAAATTGAACAATTTTGGCCAAAAAATTGAACAAAAAGTTTTTGGTATTTAACACGTACCATTGAAAACGATTTTTTAAATGTAATTGAGGTACCTTCCATAGCCAGACATCTTAAGAAGGCTGTCACTCGTTGTTCTAGGTCAAACCGTTTGGCGTCCAGCAACAGTGCGAAATAGTCTAATCTGACACTGTAAATTTTTTAGCAGATGATTGTTAAATCAGCTAGCTTTGACTCTCGATCGCAGCCAACAGTTTTGCAATCAGATGTATACCAAAGCAAGTGCAAATGCAGCAATAGCACAGTTAAACAGTTGTAGCGAGAAGTACGTAGCAGCTGTGGCAGAGGCAGTGGCATCGGATACAAACCCGACCGCGATAGGCAGCGCTGAGCAGCCGCCTCGGTCCTCAGCCCCAAGCCCCCCAGGCCCCGCCCCGCATCCATACTCTTCTCAACACAGGTGGAGGCTGTCCCGGCGTCCCCAGATTTTGCGGTTTTTCGCCTCAAGTGGTCGAACGATCAATTTTACATACACACAACCCTTATATTGTTTTAATCGTATCCTCCCGTCCAAATCCACCATTTAAATTTTCAAAGTTCAAAATATTAAAGTTGGTTGTCGTAATTACATGGCTTTTGGTGCTGCGTTTCCGCCTTCAAGCACAATGCGGGATTAAACTTGATAGGGCGGCTGGTCGAGCGTTGCATGTGAGAAACTTGGAACCTTCAATAGTTAAATCAAAATTAACATTTTCGTCCATTAAACCATGCACGTGTTAATCATGAATTGCGAAACACCAAAATTAACATTCTCGTCAGTATCATCTGCTTTCACGTTAGCGTTAACGTTTTTTCAACGAAAGCCGAGGGGTGAATCACTCGGCGTTCTGATGTACACATGAGTACACGAGTACGGATGAGTACACCATATTTTACTCATAAATTTCACATTTGTGAACGTTTTAAGGCTTTATTTAGCGTTTTAAACGGCACTCAACGCCAAATCGGCCGAAAAACTGGCGAATTTTGACCCTTTTCAACTTGTGAGTACACTGAGTACGGGCTAATTTGTACACATGAGTACGCTAGTGATTCACCCCTCGACGAAAGCGCTGTACTGCCCGCCCTGGCGGATTGACTTTGTGTTGTTTTATACTTTATCTGTTAAAATATGAACAATACATCTTTTTCCGTTTGGTTTTAATGACGTTTTTACGAAAGTGCTGTTTTTGGAGTGATTTCCCCCCTTAAGTGGGAGCTCGAGTGGGAGGAGCCGTCCGGATACTAAGGTACACATTTAGTCACAAAGTTTTCGTTAGCAGTGATAGCGATAAAATGGCACTTAAAATCGTCCTGAACGTGCAAGGCCTCCGAATTCTTACCCTTTTCACAGTAGACACCCGAGAATCCAGGTGGGCACTGGCATACAGGAGCATCCAATACGCCTCCATTGAAGCAGCTAATGTCTGCAAAGAAGATGCAGGATAAATAAAATTAAGAGTTAAAAGACTTTTTATTCCGCTGTGCATTTTTGTGCTCTTCGAAAACACGCAGTGCATTAAGCAATTTGGTTTCTGGTGGCGTTAACAGAAACAATAACTCAAATTTCTAAAATCGGAGCTTTTTTCTTGACATGTTTAAAATGAATAAACCATTCTAGCCGTGGCTGAGTGAAGAACAAGAAGAATAAAAAAACTCCATTGAGGGCATTTACAGTGCATATATTCGCTCAAAATATGTTGCATTTACTAGAAAATATTTTCACGACTAGAATGGTCACTTAGTTTAATATTATTTATACTAGGCATCCTAGTCAGCTTTCTAACTCAAGTATACATAGAACTTGCACAAATTGACAATAACTGCCTTTTATGCAACTCAACGAAATAAAGAAATATTCAAGTCAGGGATCCTTAACTTCTCTCATGAGGGGCCTGTAACGTTTCCCCAAATGGTTAAGTTACAACTCGTGCTTTAACCGCTTTTTTATACGATAAGTTATTTTTCAAGCTTCTGGAATTAAAATGTATAAACCTTTAGAACGATTTTTAACAATCCATACATTTCACCTTTTAGGAACGTTGTCGTCTAACGTGATTAACCAGTGTTCGTTATGTGTTGTATAAGTTTAGGGTCCCTGATTTGAAAACTGATTTCTGTTAACTTGAATCAAACGTGGGCACTTCATTCAAATTTTTTACTTCTTTAAGGTCGTACCTGTTTTGCTTGCGGATGGACTATAGAAGGGCTGCATTGCTGTTAAGAAAAACGAGAATACAATAAGAGTCATTCTGTAAGCATATAGACGAAGCTTGCGCACTTTCTCGAGCATCACGATGCCTGCAAATAGTTTCTCTTCACAAAGTCACCGCCCGTTGTCCATTCGTGTCACTTATTGGCCGCGCCACTTGTATTACAAGCGTTTGATTAGAATTAATACACTCTCATTCCAGGGACGTGACAAAGTGTCACGTTCGTTTGCGCATTGTGTCACATTCGTTTGAATGTGAACAAGCTGGTTTTTGGCCAATTCACACCCAAACGAATGTGACACAATGCTCAAACGAACGTGACACTTTGTCACGTTCGTTTCAACGTGATGTCACGTTCCTGGAATGAGAGTGATATATTTCAGAAAAGCAGCGCTTGAATGTCTGTCCTTTTCTTTCGATCTTGCTCATTTGTTGGAGGCGTGTTACAACTCGTAATATGCCCTTAAAAATTATTTCCACCTACGGAGAAATTTGGCGTCGACGCCTATACATTGTTTGTGCTTCTAAGAGATTAGTTGATGTATGGCATTCAGCAATGTGCCTTAAAGTAAGCAACTGCTAGATAAATATTCAGCTGCGCTAGATCACAAAATCAGTATAAAATTTTAGTACCCCTGCCGAAAATCAGAGCTTCGATCTTCTTTGCCTTATCAGATGAAGTGAACTTCCACTGCACAACAATAATGAACCTACCTGAATACATTAACCGAAAACCTTCGGAGCTTTCGTATAGATCGCTCCGGAACACCACTTTAATCCGGGCACCCATCTCAGCATCAATGCTGAAAGGCAGCCGTTTGGATTCTTGGCAGACCTGGCGAAGCAGAAGGAACGATCCTCCTCGCTCTATATAAAACTCCACAACATCTTGGCAGTTGCCCTGCACATTAAAATAGAAGATACACAATTACGCACTTCATTGCAGCGGTGATTTAGACAGTGTTCAATCGGTGTTCAATCACATGTCTCTTACCTCCAGCTGTAGATTAGTAAAGACAAAATACATCGAAGTTCGTTCAGGCAAGGACATCGAAATCCATTCACAGGTTAGGCCACTGGGGTAGGGGAATGGCCACTGCGGCGACTTAATGATTCCAGCTCTACTGTCCAAGACTCCTCCGCAGGCGACTGAAAACATGTCGTTAAGAGAAGATCTAGGAGAACTCTGATTGTGGGTAAGCGGTAGTCGTGCATGAATCGCGGGGCGCCCGCAAGAGCGCGACTATCATTGTAGGGTGCAATCTCAGTCCGTTACAGACTTTTTAGCAGATGATACACTGGTAAAACTAAAGCGTAACTCTATGCTTGAGTCAAGCATAAAGTTACGCTTGAAGACGTTACGCTTGAAATCAAGCATAGGCAAGAAATTCCCCCATGCATTTAGATAGGGGGAATCTTGGCGGATGAGCCTGTTACGCTTGATTTCAAGCGTAAACTGATTACGCTTGAAAACGGTGGGTAATACTACGCTTTAGTTTTACCAGTGTACCTTTACTTAAAAACACCATACCTTAAACTACAAGACACATAAAGGTGTCAGCTAGCTTTTACTCGAGAGCGTTTCCTAACAAAATAATAGGGGCGGGCTGCCGGGGCGGGTTGGTGAATCTGGCTGGCTGGCAGTGGCTGCGACGCAGCCGCTGCCGGGGCGGGTTGGTGAATCTGGCTGGCTGGCAGTAGCTGCGCCGCAGCCTGCGCGGAATTCGACCATGCCTCCCCGGTACAGCACCAGCGGCACCGGGCGCAAACAATGGCACCTGGGGGTAACACCATAAAGGACGAGTGAGGCGAAGCTCTCGCTCTGTGCAGGGGTTGGACTTCTTCGAGATTTTTAAAACTGGGCCATTGTTTTCAAAACGCATTGCACAGATCGAAAGAGCATAAAATTTAAGGCGCATTAGACGCATTGACCTTCCCAAAACTCCAGATTTTACTTAGTACCAAAGAGAAAATCGCGTAAATGTTTACACAAAGAGGGCGCCCCCGAGGTTTTTTTCTTAATTATTAGACTTATTTTATTTTTCGGTGTTTTCACTTTGATTTTTCGAGGGCTGAAGTAGCAGGTAAGGGATTGCCAATGAGTCTAATGCACCCTTTATGTGATGCTCTTTCGATATGTGCAAAGCGATTTGCAAACAATGGCCCAGTTTGAATAATCTCGAAGAAGTCCGTGACCCCTGCACGGAGCAAGATCGGAGCGAGAGCTTCGCCTCACTGCCGCTTTAGGGTGTTACCACCCCCTGATGGCACCCTCTCCTCGCGCGCAACAGTGACAATCCCTCCCCGCTACAGCGCAGAGGCACCGAAGGCTCACAATACAACGGGCACGGCGCGGCGGTGCAGGCCACGGCACAAAGGACTCAGTTTTGAAATACTACACTGTGGCAAAAAGCTACGGAAAATTCTGTTAACAGCTTCACTGTTAAAAAATGGTTGTACAGTAACAATCAGATGAGTGAAAATTTAGTCGTTCCAAAACATAGAATTTCATCATGAACCAAAGCGAAACAAATGTCGTTGAGTCTAGTAAGCGACATTTTGTCGTTGAAGAACAAAATTCTTGTTATCACTCTTTACGATACAATTTGTGTGGAAACAACATCTTTTGCAATTATCTGCTAAATTAAAGCATTATGAATAATCATCTATTTTGTTCTTCTAAGTCATATGGAAATTACTATTGTTGAAAAAAAAACATGCAAAATAAATTCAGCGACAAAAGTACTCTATGAATATTGTCGCAGACATTACAAAATTTCTTTTGTACTTTCAATACTTGTCATTGATGTATTATTGTTGGTGCGTTATTACAAGTTAGTCGTTGTGAAATGATCCCTTAGTTCCAATACGACTACGGATTAACAAGCTTTTCGTTCCACAACAAATCTTGTTGCTAAAAAAGTTAGCGATAAATGTGTCGCTAAGTTACGACAAAATTTTTATCAGTGTTGTCGTAATTCTCCGTAGCCCTCTTGTCAGTATTCTCCGTAGGCTTTTACAGTATTTTCCGCAGGGCCTCACAGTATTCTCTGCACGCTGCCACGCTGTTCGAGGCTGAAACAGCCACGCTGTTCGAGGCTCGTTTAGCCCAACCTACAACCTAACCAAACTTAAGGGGGCAATACACTGAAAATGGCCAAAAACTGACTTGTGCGATTGCTTCCATACGCGTTGTTGTGCGTTGTTCAATCTTTTCATGTGTCAAGGCCTTATAAAATGAATCATTTTAAGCCCAGAATGGCGTCGATCGGACGTCAGGGAGCGGAGCAGCGCCCAATCAAATTTTCGTCAAAAATCGAACTGGCGGGCGTCTCTCAGTCCGCAAAAATGAAGATATCTCGACCCCGTTTGCGCCAAAATGTAGGTAATTAAAGCGGCTATAGCGCAAACTAGGATTATGAACATCGAACAATCAGAAGTACAAAATTTTACGAAAAAAACTGTTTTGATCATTTTTGCAAAATCCTCAACAAGTGTTTTTGGATGAAATTTTGTACTTTCGGTTGCTCGATGTTCATAATCCTAGTTTGCGCTATAGCCGCTTCAATTACCTACATTTTGGCGCAAACGTGGTCGAGATATCTTCATTTTTGCGGACTGAGGGACGCCCGCCAGTTCGAATTTTGACGAAAATTTGATTGGGCGCTGCTCCGCTCCCTGACGTCCGATCGATGCCATTCTGGGCTTAAAATGCTTCTTTTTGTAAGGTCTTGACACATGAAAAGTTTGAACAACGCTCAACAACGCGTATGGAAGCAATCGCACAAGTCAGTTTTTGGCCATTTTCAGTGTATTGCCCCCTTAACCCATCCCAACCTTACGTGCCGCGGAGTGTTCAAGTGTTCAAAACATCTACCGCTTGAACATCAATGTACAATTTATAAGAAACGCTTCCTGCACTGTAAGGGGAAGTCGTATTTTTACAACTTTATTTTACATGAATACCATCGTAATTTTACAACATAAACTCGTAATTTTACGAACGTATTCGTTTTTGGCTAAATACAAAGGGAAATTTCACAATTTTACACACATTTTTACGGTTAACCTTGTAAAATTACGAACTAAAGCTGTAATTTTACGAAGAATGTCGTCATTTGACGAACGAAAGTTGTCATATTACAAGCATTATCGTAATTTTACAAGTTTGATTGTAAATTAACGAGTAATTCCCTGTTAATTCTGTAGGACAAATTGTTCGTAAAATTACAAAAGTTTGTTAAATTACCACGACAAATCGTAATTTAACAAGGAAACATCGTAAATTTACAAAGAAAGTCGTAAAATTTTCAAGGTACATTATTAGTTCTATTTTCACGTTTTTTCGTCGACGCAAACCAAGACCAACCTGAAAATAATATGGTTGAAGATTTGAATTATAACGACTGTACTCATTAACTTACGAACAATTTGTCCTATAGAATTAACAGGGAATTACTCGTTATTTTACAACAAAATCCCTAACAGTGTGAGTAAACTTTTGACGCTGACAACAAAGGTAGTGTCGCCGACACTCTATCTAAAGCCGTTTACAAGATACCCTTAATAGGTGTGTAGCGGGTTTGCCTACCTAAATCACCCACATTGGCCTAACTGGCAGGCTGATTTCTAGGGCCTTGTGGTCTGGAGGGCAGATCCCCAAGTCCATAGGGCCGGTCCCTAACTTGATAGGACAGACTTTTCTGTCTGGGCTGACTTTCTGGTCTGACCAAAACTTGGCGAAACTTAAATGTCTCGCCATACTTTGGAGCGAAGTCTTTCCATCCAATTTGCAGTGAAGGCCGGAAAAGAAGTATCGGAATAATGTGACGACAAAAAAGTTCAAGTTACCCGGAAAAAAGTATCCGTTTTCGTTACTAGTTACTTTTTGATAAAACCTAACCGTTAAGGTAAAAAATCAATTGTGGGTCACGAGTCAATTGTGGGTCATTTTTTTCGACGGGTCACCGCAGACCCGACAGAGAGAGAATCGATTTGAATTTCGCGGTAGACCTTCCTCCAACCTTTCTTTGTATTCCCAAATAGCGTGTATGACCGAGCGACGACTGTAACGGCTTCTATCAGGCTTCAAAGGAAGGCCCTTCAAAAAGTCGTGAAAATGGCGCCCATCCAACGAGGCGAAAAATCGTGCTTTTTTCAAATTGCCACCGTGAAGCTACTATGAGATAAAATGGGACGCCCTTGCTGATTTAGGTATATAATAGGTCAGGGAACATAAATTTATCATAGTACGGCCGAAATCATTCGATGCCATGGTGCGCGGGTGCTGGCAAAGTAGCGTTCGCTACCATGTCAAACCCTTTTTATTTTTTAGGGAACGAATTTTTTTTACGGTGGGGTTTTTTTTGGCAAAATTTTTTGTTTTCTGGGGGGGGGGGGGCTTCCTTGGGGAAATTTGGGCCCCCCCTGGGAAATTTTGAAAAATTTCACAAAGTAAAATTTCCCCCCCCCCTTTTTTTTTTTTGGGAAAAAAGGGTTAGGGAAAATTTGTTTTTTTTTTCCCGGGACCCGGGAGCCCTCTTTCCCAATTTCCTCGAAAGGCTTTAAATTTTTTGGGGGGGGGCAGGGGGGTTGGGCCCCGGAAAGGGCCCCGTTTTCTCCAACCCTGGCGGGTTGGGCCCCCGGGGGCCAGTCCGGTTTAAAAGGGAGAAATTTCCCTACAGAAAATACTGTAAATAGAAAAAAATTGTGGGGCCTCCCCAAATACGGGGTGTTTTGGATTTTCCCAACCCCCAAAATTGCACTATAAAGTTTCGTCTCTAATCCAGGACTTTTAAACTTACATCTGTCTCACAGTGAAATTAGCCTGTTTATGTTTTTTTCCTCTTTGAGTAACGTGTCTGCTTGGTTTATTGAGAACCAGGGACCTTAATTAATTAAAAAAAGAAAATATCTTGCAAAAGTGGTCAATTTACAAGCAAAAAGACGAAATGGCCCACAATTGATGTGACCCACAATTGATTCATTGTGGTACAGATCCTGCAGTTTTCACGATTCCGAAAAAGAAATTCAGAAGTGAATTTCTCTCGTATTTAAGCAAATCATATCCAAATTTGAGCTTCCTACAATGCTGACCCACAACTGGTTCCAAAAATCAATTGTGGGCCAAAACAGACTATTCTTAAAACAGCCACAGCTTAGTAAATAAGGATGATAGACGGGGCTACTATGCTGCAAAACTTAGTCCAAAGACCATAGTTTAAGGCTGCACATGCACTTTTATCACCAGGTCAGAATTTAAGGCCTTAATTTCGTAGTTTCAAAAATGTGACCCACAATTGATTTTTTACCTTACTTATTCGTTATTTGAAACACTTAACAGATCAACTGAAGTATCTGTTACTTTTATTCGTTATGCCGAACCCTGGCCAGGGCCTTTGAGGGTAGGTTCGGGCCCATGAGGATTCATTCATTTGGGTCGGGACCCAAACGACGACCTAAAATTATAGGTACAGACCCAAGTTTTAGGGTCTGGACCCAAAAATCATTTGGGTTCCCTCTGCCATGGGGGACTTTACAAGATGTCGTTTTTGACAGCCTTCAATGGCAGAAACTAAATTTGTTTTTGTTTGTTTGCACTGTAAGAAAATGTTGTAATTTAACAACTTTTATGCTGTTGAGTTTGGTATCAACACATCTCGTTATTACAACATACATGTAAGGTAAAAAATCAATTGTGGGTCACGAATCAATTGTGGGTCATTTTTTTCGACGGGTCACCGCAGACCCGACGGAGATTGAATCGATTTGAATTTCGCGGTAGACCCAGGCGCGGATCCAAGGGGGGGGGCGATGGGGGCGTCGCCCCCCCATGAAGGCGGCGAAGCCGCCTGAAAGATAGGCAAAAAGTCGCACATTACCCCTGCAGGTAGGCAACTTTCGTGACATCGCCCCCCCCTGAACCCGACTCTGGATCCGCCCTTGGGTAGACCTTCCTCCAACCTTTCTTAGTCTTCCCAAATAGCTTGTATGGCCGAGCGACGACTGTAACGGCTCCTATCAGGCTTCAAAGGAAGGCCCTTCAAAATGTCGTGAAAATGGCGTCCATTCAACGAGGCGAAAAATCGTATGTTTTTCAAATCGCCACCGTGAAGCTATTCCGAGATAAAACGGGACGCCCTTGCTGATTTTGGTTCATAGTAGGTCAGGGAACATAAATTTACCATAGTACAGCCGAAATCATTCGATGCCATGGTGCGCGGGTGGTGGCAAAGTAGCGTTCGCTTCCATGTCAGACCTATTATTTTCAACGAATTTTCCGGTAGTTTTTCTGCTTTTTTTTGTTTTCTGCGCTTCTGAATGACTGATGTATCCCAGTAAATTCCATTTTTCTGCTCTGTCACATTTAGTATTACGATACGAAGGTTACGTTAAGCTACAGCCCCGCTAGCTCTCTAGCTCTTACTTCCAGTCTACCATCAGGCTTTTTTGTTGGGGAGGGGGGGGGGCGCATTTCGGGGCTTACATAGCTCCCGGAAGGGAACCGCTCTCCAACTGCGGGCTAGGCACCCGAGGCCAGTCCGGCCCTGTTATAAGGAGTCAAATCAATCCCTACAGACTATATATTCTGTCTGAAATAGATAATAAACTGTAGCAATACCTTATGATGACAGGGTGTGGTGTTGGATTGTCTACCTTACCGGCGGCCCTACAATATGCACTATAAAAGTTTCGTCTCTAATCCAGGACGTTTAACTCACATCTGTCTCATAGTGAAATTAGCCTGTTTATGTATTTTTCCTTTTTGAGTGAAAAACGTGTCTGCTTGGTTTATTGAGAACCAGGGACCTTTAACTAATGAAAATAAGAAAATATCTTGCAAAAGTGGTCAATTTACAATCAAAAAGACGAAATGGCCCACAATTGATGTGACCCACAATTGATTCATTGTGCTACAGATCCTGCAGTTTTCACGATTCCGAAAAATCAATTCAGAAGTGAATTTCTCTCGTATTTAAGCAAATCATATCCAAATTTAAGCTTCCTACAATGCAGACCCACAACTGGTTCAAAAAATCAATTGTGGGCCAAAACAGACTATTTTATAACAGCCACAGCTTAGTAAATAAGGATGATAGACGGGGCTACTATGCTGCAAAACTTAGTCCAAGGACCATAGTCAAAGGCCGCACATGCACTTTTGTCACCAGGTCAGAATTAAAGGCCTTAATTTGGAATTTTCAAAAATGTGACCCACAATTGATTTTTTACCTTAATAGCCCTCGGGGCTGTTTTCTGGATACTCGTTTCATCTACAACTTTCATTTGTTTCGTTTTAGTTTTTCCTGGTTACAGTTTATTGTTTCTCCTGAGAACTGCCAAAATGGAGCCACCCCCTTCCGCTTCCTGGACCAACTTACCTGTAGAGTATAATAACCGGAAACCCTTCCTTACAACACCTTCATCGCTTTCGAACACCACTTTAATGCGGCCAGCCTTGCCTACATCGATGGTAAAAGGTGTCAGTGAATAAAAAGCGCGGACGAGGCGAATCCATCGGAACGATCCATCTCGCTCTGCGTAAAAACTCACGCCATCGCCACCCTGGAGAAAACGGTAACAGCATTAAAAGCGTATCAAAGAATCAAAGATGGGCGAAGATGTTTCAAGGCGAACAAAGGTGTGCACAGGAGCTTGAGAAAAGTGCCCCTGCGCGGCACAGTTCAAAGCGCTTGGGGGTCATTCCAGACGCAATTTGCAGGTCGCGGAGGTTACCATGGCCTATTTCGTTCCTTCTGTGCTCGACTGTAACCTTCCACTAGGGTAAGATGACCCTAAATTTTTTTAAACTCGAAATATGAATACTTCCGAAGATATCGCAATTCGAAGATTTTCGTGATTTTATAAAAAGTGTCAACTTTCGCGCGAATCCTTTCTACTTCTTAAGTTTTGACCAAGATGGTCTGGAATATGGCTCCGTACTTAAAATTGAACAAGGAATCTGAATCCGTCGTGGAAAAGTATCAAAAATCGAGTTTAGTGGTCAAAAATTTCAATAAACACATTTTTTTTGTTTTACTTAAAAGCTGAAATGTAACGGTAAGCGGACCTGAAGGTTACCTTTTTAATAATGGAAGATATTTCTTTCAACTCCCTTATCACAGCTGCGGCCCCCAAAAAGTTGGGTATAGGTCTCAATCAGGCCACTCGTTATTTCAGTGCACACACGACCCCGGTTTCCCACGATTTCCGAACAAATCCCATAAGAAAAGGGAGATGTTAGGAAGAATTGTGTGTTTTTTTTTTGTTCAGTGTCTTTTGTCACTGTCATATGATTACGATGACCTTGGATCGAAACTACAAGGATTATCAATAGAATAAAACATAACGAAATGATTCCCGGATTGAGTGTACACACGCACTGCCAATCCAAGTGTGAGACAGTCTCACACTTGTGGGTGCACTCTAAATGTTCTACAGTGAAGATTCTCCATATTATGGTGAAAATGTTCCATATTATGGTGGTGCAGCTGACTTCGTAACATACCGTTGAGAATTCACTGTACCTTATAGGTATTTTGATGAATTTCGTTGGTATTATGGAGAAAATCTCCACCATAATATGTTGGTGCAACCTTTCACCGTAAGACATTTACTGTGTGTGAGACATTTTGTCTCACGCTTTCAGGTGTGAGCCACGTTTGTCTCACGGTTGCAAGTGTGGGACAAGCGGTGTCTCACACTTGCAAGTATTTGCAGATATTTTTGTGCCTTACTTCAAAGCAGAAGTGTTAAGGGAAGCGGATCTAAACATAAACTTCCCAATAGTGGAAAATGTTCCTTCAGACTCCCTCTAAACAGCTGCGGCTCGAAAAAGTTGGTCATAGTTCGGGATCAGGCATCACAGCTTTAAAATTAGAGAGCAAATATCAGTGAATTTAATAAATTATGTTCGCAGTAGGGTGCGTCGATATAGACAATTTTTTGACCACGACTCTTGGTTAGCGCTCAATGTTAATGATTTTTTTGTCCTGATTCCAAAACTGACCTCGTTATTACGATAGGACAACTCCTTCATGTCCCTATTGGACGTTTTGAGCCAAAAACGCGGAGTTTCAAGAGTTTTTCTTGGGTTTTGGTCCCGCACACCATCCCAAACTGTCGGGCCGACTGTTGCATGGTCTGTTGGACATCGCATCCACTGAAGACAACTTTTGCTGTGTGGCGGGACTAGGCCTGCGCGATTATTGTCCAAAATTGAAATCGACCGAAGCAAGGCCGATTAATCGACGAAAACCGATTAATCGAATTATCAATAATCGAACATTAGCGATTAATCGCCCTCAATCAATTATTTCTTGCCCAATAAATTTTAGTGTTTAAAACGGGTAAAAACTTTCAGCGTTCAGAGTGATGCTGTGGGGCATTGCAGAATCGGATGCTTGCTATATTCGTCTGTCTTGCTGCCGTTGTAGTCTTAATAATAGAAAGTTTGAACTACCGTAAAACGGGGTAATATGAGACAAATTTCGAGGTTTTTTGTGAGTTTTTCCCTTTTAATTTCAATTTGACGTACTGAGGTGTTTATCACTTGTTCAATGACCCTTTGGCTACACTCCCACCAAATTTCAGATTTTTAGGTGCAGTGGGGACCTTTCAATAACCCTCGGATGCCGTCCCATATTTCCCTGCAATGTGGGGTAATATGAGACAAAAGAAAGAAATGTTAAAGAAGTATGGAGAAATAACTCAATTAGGCGGGTTTGGAGCTTTCAAAGTTCTTTTCACTCATTTTAAAGATGATTGGAAACTATAATGGAGACGATATAAAGTCTGAAGGGGAGAAAAATGGGTGTCACTAAAGAGAGCTGAAAAATGTATAAAAAGGCATGAGTTGTGCCTGTCACATGAAAATACTAAACGAAGAGCATAGATGCCGGTCAGTAAAACAAATTCGTGTTAAAATCATTGTCACTTGAAATTATTAACAGTGGAGTATGTTTGTCCTCATGTTTCAAGCGAAAAGAGGTGTCTTTATTTTCCCTGCAAGGTAACAAAATTGTATTCCATCTGGAACGGGCAGCCCGGGAGTAGACATAACGGAACCAAATTTTGTCCTGATTATGTTGACATAATTGCGTAGAGATTTAAACCTCGTTCGGACGAGAACTCGAGTTCTAACCGTGGTTTCTGGGGAGGTTTTTACTAACTTTATAAAACTTGTTAGAATTTAGAGGGTTTTCCTTTGGTTCTAAATAGCCCTGGCGAGTGTCTGATAGCCATTGTGCGTTTCCCGTGAGTTGCCACGGCTTCCTAGATCACGAAAAAAAATTCACGGTGGACTTCTGAACAACCGCTAGACAACAACACGACAAAAATCGAAAAAAGTGCGCTTTGTCTCGATTTTCCTTCATGTCTCATATTACCCCGTTCTACGGTACGGCCTCCTTGGGTGATTCAACGCGTTAACTTTGCATCCGCAAGCTCAATGGACATTCAATTTGTTCAGAACAGTACTTCTAGAAGTTCAATGTATTGGTGTCATGGGGCATGGTGGCATTTATAGTAAAAATTTGAGAAGTCTCAGACTTTGAGTTGAGTTTTGGGTCCCGAACCCAAACGTTTGGGTCCGCTCTATGACCCCTGCCAGGTAGGCAAAATTGTAGTGAAAAGAGGTCGCCAAACCCGTTTAACACCTATTAAGGGTATCTTGTAAACTACTGAAGTTGGAGCATCGGGAACACCACCATTGTGCTCAGCGTCAGGGGCGGACTGGCCCGCCCGGGCGCCCGGGGATTCCCGGGTGAGCCCTAGCCCGGCCGGGGCCCCCAAAGACCCTGTCTGTGGCCCCAGATGCCAAGGACAAAAATCAGAGCGCCACGAAACTGCCAAATCAGTCATTTGAACAGGCTTAAGGGGAGGTTCTGGTGAAAATCTTGCCATTTTCAAAATGGATCCTACAGTCATATTTGTTCGGAATAAAAAATTTTTCATTGAGGAGACTAAAATTTGACTTTTGAAGGCACATGCCAGGCTGAAAACCCCAGTCGAAGAGTCTTTTTGAGCCTATTTTGGCTGTATCTTAAAAATCTCCTTGCGCTACTATTTTGTCGTAAAAGGTTGACCTTGACTTTTTCACTTCTTCGACTCATTTTCAAAAGATTCCGGCATGCAGAGCTCAAAACTTCCATTATAAATTAGTTATTAGCTTTTTAAGCTGAAAAGTCCCTAAAATTTGTCTATTTTGTACTTTTTTATCAATTTTAGTGAATGCTTGGTTAGAAAGCTTGCGAATAAAATGCAATTGACATTTTGAAATGGGGATGCCGGCATTTTTAAAAATGAATCGAAGAAGTGAAAAATGTCTAAGCCCAAACCCTTTTTCGACAAAATAGCATGCGCAAGAAGATTTTTAAAGTTATAGCCTAAAAGGGAGAAAAAGACTCTGCGACTGGGGTTTAGGGCATAAAAAGTGCCTCCCCAATGAAAAATTTTTTAAAAAATACTTGATAAGACATCAAATTCTTAACAAATTTTCCCGTGGGACCTATATAGGAGAAAATAGCATTTTCACCAGAACCTCCCCTTAAAGCGATGAAAAGCCCCGGTTCTAGCTCGCTTCGCTCGCACAATTGATCATTTTGTACTTTAGGGAAAGGGCGCTAATTCTTAGGACTCGCGGGGACGGCTCAAATGCCCTAGCTTCATCAGCACCATTATTGCTGGCAGGGGCGTCGACACCGGGGGGGGGGGGGGCGGGGGAATGCCCCCCCCCCCAGTTTTGTCCAGGGGGGGGCAGGGGGGGCAACATTCGGGCCAAAAGGAGGCCAAAAAATATTTACTTCGCTCTTTGCTGAACCTTTTCGAATTGCTCGGTGGCCGCGACACCCACCGAGTACATAGCAGCAGGCACAGACTTGTTTCCAACGGTACGAACGAAGTCAAGCCAAGCAAACCTTGTGAATTGAATGCAAGATATTTAGTCACCTGTTTATCCCCTTTTTCGTTCTTTTACCCATACATTTCCTTGTTTTATGCGCTTAACAAAAACGCCTGAAGGTAGGCAACCCGCACGGCAGAGGGCCGCTTGCCCCCCCCCCCCCCCCCCCCCCTAAAATTCGGACGCGTCGACGCCCCTGATTGCTGGTTAGTTAATTGACTTTCGAACAGTTATATTCGTTTTTAGTAGAATCCGTGGGACAAGCCAAAACGTCGTGGGCGCGAAGCTCGCGTCGCTCGCAGTTTGAGGTTTTTCCATTTCCTTTTAGAAATTTCTTGCATCTCGCATCGCCCCTTGCCGTTTTACCTACACGATTCTATCAAATCACTTAAAACTCGAAACAAAATTACATTTAAAGAGAAAACAGGCACTTTCCTGAATTTGAAAGTTTCGTTTATGATACGGTGATAGTGGGGCCCTTCAGACTCATTCCCGGAGGGGCCCTAGCACCGCCAGTCCGCCCCTGCTCAGCGTCAAAAGTTGGGTCTGGGATGGTGAGAATGTTGAAGTTGTGCTAGGTAATTAATGTTGTGACAAACTTCTGAAACAATCCCATGTTTGATTCAGGACTCCATCATTTGGGTACGTACCCTCACTTGGGTAC